AAATCTGTATGAAATCACAGCATCATTTAGACAGAGTCTACAGCGATGCCTGGAACTTGTGGGCGAAGCTTTGACTCTCGCCAGCCAAAAATCACTGACTCATCACAGCATTCATACAGCGCCAATACTAATAGAGTTTGGATAGAAACAGTTTTATTTAGGGAATGCAGCTTCGCAACCGCCTCACCTCCTGACTCATCCTCATCCATTATTACACCAGTCATGTAATACTGACTGTTTAACAACTTGTTTTATCTCCTGAAATGTCAGGGACTTTTCACACTTGTTATTTGTGTGATTACTGTACGTCTAATAGGATTCATCCAAGACTCTAGATGTGTTTTTATGTAATATGATCAATGTAACTTGAGGCCTACGTCACATTGAAATATAGGATTTCAAACAATAGTTTTTTCTTCTGGTTAACTAAGCCTTAAACCATGTATTAGTGAAAAGAGATTGTTTACAGATGTTGCTAATATTAGAGATGACCTGATCTGATTTCATAGATTGATACTGGAATGAATCTGATCTTTCTTTATCTACCTACTACGTTGCCTCTACATTATGAGAATTTCCCTGCATGAATTAGTGAGATTTAAAGTGTGTGAATGAAAAAAGCTCTCTCAGCAATTTTTCCAATTTGTAACCGGCACTTACCTTTGCTTTCTCCTGTAAATATAACAAGGCATCACCGGTGGTAAGTTACATATAATCATTGAACGCAAATTCCATGATTTGAGATGATGAATGTAAAGGCTGTCACTACTTGATTCAAATAGCTCTTGAAAGATTAAGTGTGTTAGATGCAGCTGGTTGAATACGCTGTTAATTCAATGAGGCTTATTCAGCATTTCATGCATTCTGCTGCTCTGTAAATGAAAGAATAGAGATAAGGGTTTTGGTCCAGTCGCAGAGGAGACCGACAACCAATCAGAGCAACATGACATAGAGCGTCAAGAATATACAATTGAGTTAATTTAATACTGTCTCCACAGACATGTCCACATCAGCTTTCTTGGTCGCTTTAGTTGCTGCCAATTTGTCAGTCATCGAAAAAAACCTGCTCCATTTTACCGCCACCAAGGCTAATGGCCTATATCTCGCCATGTCAGAGCAGCGTTTCCTATTAATTATTAGTCTGTGGCACCCTGCCAGAGTTTCATAATGAACGCATTTTTTTTTACACTTCTTCTAATAAGTAGAATGGCACTCCACAGAGCACATAATTCCACCGAAGCCCCACCGTCAGCTTAAGAAACCACATTTAAATTCCCTAAAACCAGTTATTTATTTTTTCATCAAGATCCATCAATTGTTCAAAGAAAATATTAAAACACATCTCGCAATATTAAAAAAAACCACTCTGGATCCACACCTTATTGTAATGGGTGTATCTTTGTGTTGTGACTACCCCAGCACAAAATTTCATGGAAATCAGTTGAGCAGGTTTTGCACAATCCAGACAAACGCAGGCGAAAATGTCCAAGCTGTTGTGATTGGGTTGCAGGAGGGATTGGAAATCACTCTTCATACAGCTCCGTACTTATTGCTACATTTTGAGACCAACGTGATTTTGATTGGCTGATGGAGGTCAACTAATTGGGAGTGCGCTAAGCTGCAGAGGAATCCAATCAAGTTTGTTCTAGGGAAATATCTAATGTTCAAATGGAGCATTATAGATGATGTTGCCAGTGGAGCAGTTTCAACTGATTGTGATGGAGTCGAGTTCTTGCAGCCGGAAATATAAATTCATTAGGAACATCTCAGCAGAAAACAAAAACAAAAACTCACACGTACAGTATGAGCTGAAAGATTCTGATTGGTCAGTTGCTTAAATTAATGAAAATGGTTGTAGATTTATAATAACCAATTAGTCATGGTAGTCATTTATCAAGACAAACATGCCATTAAAAGACAAAAGAAATAAATCACTTTGGGTATTGGTAAGGGCGTTTGAACCAAGGTTTATGATTCAGTGATCCAGTTAGTTTTGGTGTTGCACTAAAGACATTCATATGATATATGTACATCACCTACATGGGCTGCGTCTCTCTATACTTGACATTGATTGGATTGTAGACTGGCACGTGTCTGATGCCTGTGTGTTGTTAGTTGTTTGGGTAGTAACCTTTCCGTTTCAAAAGAGAAGAGTAATGAACTCGTTCAAGTCGTACTACCAGCCTCACAGAGTATTCAACAACTAGTTTGATTTTGCCAAATGAACGTCTTCATTGTTAAATCATACATATGTTGTCAGAAGCAAAGACAAGAAATTGTTTGACCCGCTTTTTCTTCTTTTTCTTCTTCTTTTGCCTAATTCTGTCTCAACTTCCTGCAATTGGTCGCAAAGTCTGAACTTTCCAAAAAATAGTTTTTACCTTGCTAACAAAGCAAACCATGGTTCAGTTTGACCTGGACCGAGACCACATCTTTTCGTCTGACCTAGGTTTGGTTTGCTCGTGCGAGGCACCTTCAACACCTGTTATTTTAATTCAGACTAAACTGAAAAGGTCTGAAACAAACAAAGTAGCTATGAAAGCCCCTTAAAGGCTCATTTATACTTGATGTCTGATAAGAATTTGGAAATGGAATTAGCCTTCTGTTCGTACTGTGCGTTCATTATGCTCGTTTTTTTTAAGCTTATGGATGAAAGGAGCTGTACCACCGGAAATCTCAGGGGGGCAGTTTTGCCAATAGTTAGAATAAGTTGACCATAGGACCCCAGGAAGAAATAGGAAATAGGAAGAAACAGTTGCAGAACTTTTAGAGGAGAGATTTTGCGGGTTGCTAAGGAACTACAGTGTCTATATGCTGTTACTTTGGGGCGAGAACACGCACAAAGATTTTTTTTTTTAAGAGTACATTATCATAACGTCCTCCACAGTCGCCATGTTGTTGCCCTCTAGTGGATGTCTTGCT